TTAGCCACTGACATCAGCTACGGTCATATTCCAGGCAGTCTGTCTGTGGTGACACTAATTCAGCTTCTAGGGCTTGGGGTTTTTTCTAGTTTTTCAGCACTCTGAAAGTTCTGCTTTTCAAAACCAACTCCAAGGCAAGAAGCTGACAGGAAGAGGTGATTTCACCTCTAGGACCAAAAAGAACTTTTTTTGCGGCAACTGACTTCAAGGCTGAAAATGCACTATTTTGTCATGCAAGCTGACCTAAAAGCCAGAGGCTCACCATGACAGCACAGAGAGCCACAAGCATTTTCTAAATTTGTTCTCTTTGTACTAATACCAGGATAAAATATTTGGTCATCCTCCCCACCTATTTTGCTTTAAGATCCTCTCCTTAGACTTCATGTTAATTTACCATTATTTTAGCTTGTTTTACAGGTTGTTGATCTGTTTTTTCTACAAAGCCATAGCAAAACTTGAAAGAATAAATGACCTATTTCCTGGAATAGGAGACTTAAACTATTTAGCATAATAGGGAATGTATCCCAGCAGAAAAGAACCTGGTCAATAGCCAGAACATGAGCCACCAGTGTGTCCAGGTGGCCAGGAAGGATGATGGCATCCTGGCTAATATCCAAAATAGTGTGGCCAGCAGGATGAGGGAAATGATGGTTCCCCTGTACTCATGAAGCAGCATCTTGAGTGTTGTGTCCAGTTCTGGGCCCTTCACTGGAAGAAAAATCTTGAGGTGCTGGAGAGAGTCCAGAGAAGGGCAATGGAGCTGGTGAAGAGTCTGGAGCACAAGTCCTATGAGGAATAGCTGAGGGATAGGTGTGCTTAGTCTGAAGAAATGGAGTCTCAGGGATGAGCTTATTGCTCTCTACAATTGCCTGAAAGAGGAGAGGGTGTAGCCAGGTGGGTCTCAGCCTTTTCCAGTCCCTGCCCAGCCTCAGCCTTGTCTCAGGGAGGTCCTTGATGTGGGCCTGGGGCTGTCCCAGGCTGGGGTGGTGAGATCTGGCTCCCAGTTCCAGGAAGCAGTGCTCTCACAAAGTGGTCCTCTGAGACAACATGATCCAAACTGGGTTTCTTTCAGTGAATCCACTTTCCCACCTCCATGTGAGCATAATCTATGCACACATACCTTCCTATGCTGTTTTTTTTCCCCTCATCTGTATAATGCACTAATAAGCTTCAGAAAGTGCCAAGAGCAACTTTTGTTTGTGTAATTATTCAGCTATTTTCCCCATCACATTTTTAGCATGTGTGCTGTTTTCTTCCTCCAAGCTAAAAAAGAACCAGTTTTAAAGCATGTGTCTGATTTGAAAGGATGTGGTTGGGAAGAAGAGAAGTTTATTACAAAGACTTTTGTGTTCAGATAGCCTAACAGGAACTCAGTATATTGCCATTGATTTTCAAGTGGTATAAACATGGTCTGCCCTCAGACTCTGCATCTTGAGGAATAATTGTTTACTAGTTAGCCATAATGTAAAAAAAGTTTAAATGGTCACATTTTAGTGGCAGCTGTAAGATTACAATTGACTTCTTCTAGTATGTTTTTAAACCCTCTTTCAAAGTACACCATTAGAAATCTTTTGACTCTCTGAAAATTAATTTCAAGCTTGCTGCTTAAATTCGCTGTATTCCAAGCCAAAAATTTTTCAAAATTGCATTTGCCTTGAGCAGAATCCTGAGTAGGTTATGAAGTCCATCTAATAGCACTAGCAAAAAAAGACAAGAAAAAAGGAATTTCCGTGATTTGCCCACAGCAAAACTATTAATAGATGCCAGTGAAGTACTGAGTTTTTTTAAGTTAACACAATATACTTATTTGAGGTCTAATAATTAATTATTTATTGTAAAATCTTACATTACAAGCCCACTGGCTCAGTGGACTCTTGGACTTGTTCCAAGGCCCTTCAAAACACTGCATTTTTTTCTTTTGAAGTAACTGTGTTTTTTGATACAACTGTGTTTTTTGTCCAGTCCCGGTCTGCAACATTCCTGACACTCTCAGAAACTAAATTAATGTTTTTTATACAAGCCAAACATCCTCTTTTCACCATGGGGAAAATAAGTGGTTGCCTTCAGCTCTTACATATCCTTGTGCTTCCAAGTACTATTGATCAGTGCTAAAGCTTTCTTCTCTTCTTTAACACCCTTTTGGTAGCGGTCCAGATTCTTTTGCAGAATAACCCTTCAACCCCATATGGACGCGTGCATTAAAGCTTTCCACGTGTTCAAGCAGGAGACAACTCCATGCTGCTTGTTTAACAGAAGAAACTAGCACTGAAGATGCTGAACCTAATTTATGTATTGCTAAAAACCTTCCTTTTATGCTTTCAGTCAAGAATATTTGAGCTTTGTCCCAGGTAACAAATATGAGCAGTTATTTTTGAACCACCATTAAATTTAGAAACACCAATCCTCCCTCTTCTTACTGTCTTAATCTAAACACTGCTCATCATTATCTATTTTTGAACTATCTATCCTCTTCCCATAAAACTTGTGTGAAAGTTTGGAAAGCCTGAGTTTGAAAAGATGTCAATATATTTTGTCATTCAAAATTCCAGTAGGAAGCTTCAGAGCACAATCAAGGCACAAGAGCTAGGTGAGCTGCAAGCAGTCTTTATTTCTGTCCTTTTCCTATCTGTAATAAAATCATATTCTACTGGAAACAGAGTTGGCTTTCCAGGCATATGTCAGGCTCAGGGGAAGCAATTAGATGTAAAGCAGGCCACCTGGTATGACAGTAATTAGACTCTAGATCTGTTGTTATTAGGACCCAAAGTCGCACTGTGAAATTAGCTCAGAACTTTAATTAAACTTGTAGTAACAACTAACTTTTATTTCTTAATTTTTTATTTTTTTTTTTTTGGAACCCAGCTGAACAAAGGGCTGAATGGCACACTGAACCAGTTAAAAGTAACATAGCTATTTCTATCTGTGTTAGCAGTAGAGATCAGAACACCTCAGCTGTTATGAATGGTTATTAGCACAAGTATCTCTCTGGCTTTTTGGCATCTACAGAGAATTAATTAAAAAGCTCAAGCTGGTGTGAAGTTACCATTTCCTAATGTCATTTTAGACCCCATAGAGGAGAGAAAAGGAGTCATAAGCTGTACCTATATTACTGTTCAGGGCATTTGGTGACTATTCTCAGTGTACCCACCACCATGCACAGATCATGTTGACAGAGCTTATTTTGTGCAGACAAGCGAGATTCTTGGAGAAGGAATTGAACCAGAAGGTCAGATATATCAGGTCACTATATCAGGTGCACTCCACACCTGAGATGGACATAAAGAGTGAATCAAAACATCTCCAAAGCCTTAGCATGGCAAGGATATACAAAACTAATTTTAGTCAGACCTGCACGCCCTAAACTTCACATCATATAAATGTCAGATCTTCAGCAGCAGATCTTTAAATCCACTAAACTGGCCCTGTTGCATCAAATTTCTCACCATAGTAATGAGAAGCAATGGGTCACTGGGATTTTATAGCACATGAAGTACAGGGAGGGAATGTTAACAAGATATCCTAATTTTCATCTATCCTATTTTCATCTAGCATGGCACTTTGAAGAGGATTTTATAAACAACTACCTAAACAAAGTCCCAATACACATACTCCTTTGTAATGAAAAGTTAGAGCAAGCACATAATATACGAAGTGTGGGGACATGAGGGATATTACTATTTTAATAGCATTTTTTGTGCCCAGGTGCTGGATTCAGAGCTCTGAGCTTGAATTCCGCGTATCAGGAGTCTCCTGTATGATCTAAAAAGTCTTTCTTCACACTTGCCAGTAGTATTACTAGTGGCATTAAGTATTAATGCCCAGGGTTTTATCTCACACCATCAAAATAAGACAAGAGAAACAGCATCCAGTGATCCCTATTGATGGATGAATGCCACTGAAGCCAAAAGTAGCTCTGTCAGTCCCTATTCATTGGGACATTTCCCTCATCATACCCAATAGCATCTGGCATAACATCCCAAGAAAGGCAGATATTTTTGCAGAATATGCTGCCATCATATTCATCTACAGAGCTGCATGAGAAAATGCAGGGGAATGGACACTTGTGGAGGCAGAAGTTTGTTCTTCATTTGCAGGCAACCTCAGCTGTAACACAACAGAATTCCAGTTTTCTGTGCATTAAAGGAAAAATTCTACTATTTATTAGTTGTGGTAGTTAACTTGTGCTTTATATCAAAGACTATAATTTAGTAGTTATGAGCTTGGAACCAAAAGATTAAAAAAAATGTAAAATTTCTGGGTTGGGCAAGTGGATTCTTTTTTTTAAAATTTTATTCCATACAGGAGACATTAATTAGGACGCTCATATTTTAATCATTACTGTATAAACTATCAATACTTTAATCATTACTGTATTACTATCAATAAGACTCATCTGGTCCATTCCTGTTACCAAAGCACAATTGTTTCCTGAACTACATAACCACATATTCTACTTCAGGATTTTATCCCTATAATACTTCTATTTAAAATAGTGATAACATCCTTAGTTCAGGTTTCTAAACAGTGTTAATTAATCTAAATTTTGCTTTTCATCATTTATGCTCTTAATTACTGCTAATTTAGCTCTCTTGGATAATAGAGGTTGCATGATCTGATTCTCAACAAACAGGAGGACAATACTGGTGGGTGCCTTTTATCTTTAGACTTGAAATCTGTCAATATTACTAAAATAATCGCTGAAGGGGTTTTTGCATTTTGAAGAACACAAATTTTAGTACATACAATCCCTCTATTTACAGGAAAAGACTAAATGCACTGATGTCAACAGAGGATACTGTATCATCTACAATAACACAAAATTCCTTTTAAGCCCACAGGTGAAGATCCTCAGTAAGTTTTGAATGACCATTGCCATTGTATTAGAATAATATATTTACAAGCAGTTACTAAAAAAAATCAAAAACGCATTGGCAACTTTTGTGAAGTTCAAAAAACATTGAATGCACCCAAGCTTCCCTGTTAAACTTGTTCATACATACCTTTTACCCAGCTGTATCTTCATTTGCCTACTTGGTCATATATTTTGATGCATTCTTCCAGACAACTAGAATCTGCCTCTTACATTTATACTTCAAAAGACAAAAATAGTATTCTCTGACCTTGCCACCAATCTCAACAAAATCCTTGCAAGTTTTGCAAGATGCCTGGACAAACACAACTCTTCCTGAGAGACCAGTCCTGAAGGCAAGAAACAAGATTCTGCTCAAGTGAAAATCTGAAGTAGCATGGTGCATTGACAGAAAAAAATAGTTCCAAGGTACTTCATATTTCAGCTCCTGAACAAGCCAAAAAGAACATCCTGCATGACTATCCTGATGGAGATGGGGATAAAAAAAGCCACTTCCAAGGCAGCCAGGTCTCAGCTTCTCATAGATACTACTCAGGTCCCAGAAGCACATTCAGAAATTGGTTGGCAGGTAATGCATGGCACAGAATTGACTTATAGTATGTTCCCCAGGGGACACAAAACTGAGCAGAAGGTTACAGCTATTCCCTTCACCAGCTAATATTTTTGCATGGTAGCTTTGTGAGCATCCTGCAGCATGGGTGCAATGGAATAGCAGTATATTATTAAAGCAAAAATCCCTAATTGAATAATTAAAGCACCTCACACATCTTGCCAAAACGTCCATTATCAGAGTCCACCTACACTGTTCTGTACCCCCCACTGAACAGCTCACAGCTACACAAGGCCTGTGAAGCAGTGGCTTCCAGCCAGCTTCTTTCTGCAAAAGAAATGCTGTGAGGAGCACAGCTCTCCACGATAGAAACATATCACTTCAAGATATGTTTCTTAAAGTCTTCTTTGTAGTAGTATTAACAAAATAAATGAAGAGGTGAAAAAAAAAATCTGACTTTCAAAGCAAAAGGTTGCATTATTGTGTATGTATTTGCACTTTCCCCAGCATCAGATGCCAGCTTAGTGTAAGAAACAAGGCACTGAGGGACTGATATTAGCCAACTGCATCTCGTTGTTCCTGGGCTGTCCAGCCCAAGTGGAAATTAGAGTAGCTGAGCTTATAAAATTCCTACAGTAGATCTGAAATAATTATTTTTCAGCCAAAGAGGGCTAAAAAGAGGGGGTAGCAATGCCTAAATACCGTAGAGTTCATCAATTGACAAGTTCATAAATTTGTGTTATGTTTTATTTGATGCATCAACTCAATAATAACTAGAGGCAAAACTGTAAAAAATTACGATTTTTAATATTTCTTTTTCTATTGCATTTCTAAATTCGGTGTAATATTGTATCTACAATTTTGAATGCACTTTAGAATTATAAAAAGTTAAAAGTAGTGAAGGTGAAATGACTTTTTAAACTCAAACAACTGTGTGCAATCTTCAAGTTGTTAGCTAAACTTCAGAAAATTAAAGTAGAACTTCAGCATTTTTTTATTTGTTTGATGGGAACTAAATGCAAATTTTGAAATGAAACAACATCACGACTACAGGGAAGGTGGAATTTTGAGGCTGCTTAGCAATGGCATAGAATAGCTCTTCCTTGGTAACAGCAACTCAGTCATCTGGTCCTCTGTTTAGAAGATATGAATTTTCACCTCCTTGCCATTCTCCCCATCATGACAAGGCAATTCCTCACTAGCCATGGAAGTGGACAGTTAAATTATTATTGAATCGCTGCAAAGCTTACTTATGAATCTGGGTCATATCTCAGTCACGCTGATGCAAAGCACACTATCCTTCTTCATTTTCATAATGCTACTAGATGTACAGGGAGAGAAGAAAGAGCTGGATTAAGCTGAGCATTTTCTGCAGAGGAATACCTGCCAGGGCCTCAGCACTGCCTTTACTGTGCATAGCAACAGTGCTCAGCACTGGTACAGCAGGGAGGCCAATATCTCAGCTCTTCACCACTGCATTCCAGCTGGAAGTCCAGGCCAATGAATGATGCATTAGACATATAAAATGGATCTCAGTGAATCACAGAGAGTAGAGAGGCTTTTGATGGGGTTTTTTTGTTAAATTCTATTATTTAGATTTTATTATATGGGATTGCTTGCTCAATGGCTTAATACAGCTGCTGTGCTACTGTCTGAATATATGTCAAGCTGTCACGAAGGCAGCTTCCTAATAGCCCTTAGAGCATCAATTTCAGAGCATATTATAAACACTACTAATCCCTTGGAAATCCCTCTAAGGTACACAAGTCAATATCATTATTATTATTATCACTTTTCCTTTTTTACGCTTGTTGAAATTGCAATAGAGAAATATGATCAGACTTCATCAGCACCACAATGAGGAGGGCAGCTCCTCATGTGGCATAAAACTTGTTAATGCTGCTGAAATCAAAACAGGAATAAAACCATTATATTTTGTAAGAGCCTACACTTACAAAATGAGAGTTCCTTAATTGTCATAGTGGGTAATTTTATAAGGAGACAGGGAGCTTACAGAGAGTAAATGAATTGCAAAGACTTAGATCTTAGCTACCTAACAGCTATTAAATAACATTTCAAAATAAATAGCATTTAGATACTTCTCAAAAGAGATTGCTGTGATTGCCCCAGAGATGTTACACAGAGCTGGCTGCAGCTGGGGACCTATGCTGTGCTGTACACTTTTCCTTACAATGGAAAGATGCATGAATGAGGCTTTGAACACACCAAAATGTTTCAGGAAAACAGTCTCATGAGTGTGAACATAAAAAAAATTAATCATTAAGGAAAATTAATAGAAATAACCTATTGGGTCCTATTTTCTGATCACTGGCAAGCTACATGCAAATCTTGTTTATCTTCCCCCCATAGACATTTGTTCTTACCCAGCTGACAAAAGTGGGCACTGGTTCTCTCCTTGCAGTAAGAAACAGCACTTCAAGGGCCAGGGCAGAACCAGATCCATCAGGTTTGTATTTTCCCTCCCTTGCTACAAGGAACAATGTGGGTGAAGTAGAAGAATCAATGATGAGTGAGAATCAACGAGCACAAAGCAGGAAAACAGTGGTGGCCAGAGTGGGTTGATTGCTCCATTTTTCTAGGTTTGTACAAGGGAATACAGTGGCAGTGAATTGGGAGCCACTCCTGTTTCTAAAAGTATATGAACAGTGGAACTTGACTTCTTTACTCCCTATATATCCACATAATAGGAATTCAGATTTTTCCCAGAATCCAAGCCATGATTTGGGAGCATCAGTTCATTTCAGGAAGATGTTCAGTCTTTGTGAATGCTCACAATAATCCTGCTTAAATACATTGTGATATTATAATGCATTAACATCTGTAAATAACAAGTGACACAAGAGAGACCCTACATAAATAAATTTCTAAGCCTGTCACTGTACATAACTCAGCTGCTTTACCTTATGCAACACTAAGTGGCAGAGTTTTAAAGCCGTCAGAGTGAGTTAGTGGTAATGATAAAAGGATGTATAAGCAGAGAAATTACTCCCTGCTCTTTGCTGGCCTGCTGCACTCACCAGCTGCTTTCGGTTGAGAAGTGAGACCTGCACCAGAAAAATCTTGGAGCCCTTGCAGGTTTGCAAATACAGCCCATGGAATCTGGGCGCACAAATGTCCTAGGACTGAAGCCAAGCCACGCTCCTTTTGAGGAAGCCACTGTCAGTCTTCTTTTAAGATTAATTTTTTGTGTGCTAGTCTCCAAGGCAAGGTTTAAAACAATTTGATCTAGAAGCCAGTGACTCTATAATACAACACTGATTCTTTGTTCTGCATGGTGCCATGGCTGAGAATTTAAAGAAAAAAAAAAAAAGAAAAGGAAAGCTTTATTTACTTGAGTATTGCTTTCAAGACAAAAAGAGATGAACTGTCTTGGAAAAGACTTCATTAGTGAATTGGCAGAGGCAGCACAACCATGGGAATAAATTTATAGGTAGGATGAAGCTGTCTCTTTGAATCATAAATTGACTGCAAACAGAAAATCACACACTACATTGTCCAATGATTCTCTAAAGAACACCCATCTCCAAACACAGCTTGCCAAGTGTCAAATACATTATTAACGAGAAGAAAAACTAAAATAATTCCTCCCTAGATTCTCCTTGGGGAAGTGAAACTTTATACTGTCCTTAATACAAAGTGCTTTACAGGCATAGTGCAATCCTGTACTATCAGAACTGATATTTAAACACATTTCCTACTGTAGAATTTTGAAGGAATAACAACACTTTTAACTTCTACGACAATTTTATCCAAGGTTCCCTGAGTCATTTTAAAGCAATAACTAATTAAAGCTCCATGAGTTAAAGATGTAGTGACAGCAATTTCCACAAGGTAAATCAGACAGACTCAAAATGTCATACAGGGTGTGCACAGGGCAGCAGACCTGGAGACCTGATCCCCCGGGCATCCCTGTGTCAGTGCCCTGCACTAAGCATCAGATACTTCACTCCCCCACCCTACATATACTCTTAATTCACAGCAAATTCTCATTACAACAAAGGCACCGTGAAGTGGTTTTAGTGTTTATTGACAATAAATGAACACTTTTATCTACAGATGTTCTTGTTTTGTTTTAATATGCTGGGGGGGTTTTGCTTTTTGCTGAGATGATCTTCCTTATTACTAAACAACCAAAGAAGTAGAGAGTTACCAGGGGCTGCCTACATTAGTTTCACATGTCTTTTCAGCGTATTAAAGTGTTTTCAATTACCTCCTAATATATCTCCAGGGAGCCTAGGAGAATAGAAGGATTAGCAGAGTAATGAGTTTAAATTATTGAAGGGTTTGGGCTTTCCCCCGCCCCCCTCTAATGTGACTTTGTTGGATTTAATCCTAGACCAGAGATATTTGACAGTACAAGCCAGGTTATAGCTAATGATTCCAAACCAAGGGGTTGTGAAAAAAGAATATAAAAAAGCAAACTGCCCTTCCATCTCCAAGATGATACAGTAAAAATAATATGGAGGTCTGCTTTACTTTGCACTGATTGAACCAATACTTCTGTTTTAGAAGTTTCTAAAACTGATAGGAATAGTGAATGGTAGATGAATTTATAAGGCAGGAACATCCATGAGGAAAAGAGGGCAAGTGATCCATTTTTGCTTTATTGCATTGTGACATAATAAAATTCCAAAACTCAGCCAGCTGAATCAAATATCAGAGGGGAGGGAACTGAGTTAACTGATATTTGTGTAGTGCTCTGTGATGGCCACTAACCCATAACACCTTTTAACACCTGTTATGGGAGTTAAAACACAAATATTTGAGCATTCCAAAGCTATTAGATGTATTTTAGCCTCAATGTCATTATGAAATAGAAAAATTTAATTTTTATTACATTCAGGATTGGAGATACAAAAAAATCCCACCCTCAAGTTCACACTGAAAGTTCAAGAAGACTGGGAATTCAATCAATATCTCCTGAGCCCTACTTATATCCCTGATGGGCCAACAATCCACACAAAGCAACAATGCCAAAAAAAAAAAAAAAAAACAAAAATGAAAGCCATACCATGTTTCTAGAGGGAAGAAAATGCATGCTTTACAGAAGATATTTATCATGGCACAGCCCTCCAATTTCTGTCTTAGCCTTTTCTTATCTGGTATGTTGCACGGGTGGGC